TAGATAGATAGATAGATAGATAGATAGATAGATAGATAGATAGATAGATAGAGCGACTTGCGAATCTGTCCCCTAAGATTGGACCATCCCAACTGGACTCATCATTCGGGGGGCCCACTCTCTCCATCCAACCCCACCCCACTCCGTCCTCGCACCCGCTCAACCATCCCCCACTCGTCCTGATCCACGCCGAGCGACGGCTCCCGAGGACGCGCAGCTTACAGGCATCGGTGCTGCTGAGGCTGCCCGAGGTGGGCGCCTGGAGCCATCAGCGAATGCCGTGGATCGGAGGAGGAGGAGGAGGAGGATTGGGAGGATGGACTGGGCGTAAACAACCGTTGGAAGATGTTGGAAGAGAACAGGCCGAGAATTGGCTGTAATTACATGCATTGCAAAGAATGCTTTGCCATCTCTGTGTATTTTTCTCGAATGATATAGATGTTACTCCAATGTTACTGTGGTAAGCTGCCTCAGTTGGCATTCAATTCATGACCCTATAAGCGTTGTGGTAGCTCGCGCGGGCCGTTGGTGGGGTGCATGTCTCTTCAAATTCGCCCTTACTGCATCAGTGCTGCACTCAATGGTTGAAATATGTGGAAGTTTAACCTTCACATCGTGAAAGAATGAGGTCACTTGTCCCGGGGAGCTGTTTATAGGAGTCTCGCTTAGACACCAGTGAGCAATCCCAAAGGGTGCCAGAGTCTAAGAGATTGATGGTTCCTCCCCAAACTCCAGAAACTTCGCACCCCCCAAACTACATGACCTGCATATTACTGCTATCATATACTCCCTACACCTCCAACCATATCCTCAGAAGGTGGTTAGACCCCAAAAACCCACCCCAACCACCTTATCAGGAGGTTGTTGGAGCCCTAGGGACTATAATCTAGCTGCTATATGATCTATATGGTATGCCATATATGGATGGAGCATCTCTGCGACCCCCCAAAAACGGATTGACTCTGCTCAGGTTCATCTCGAGCTTCGCGAAGCTTCGGGAGCTTCGAGCTCCCCCGAGGTGGTCTGAAGCTCCATCTCCTCGCCCTCCCCGCCTGCCGGGTCCAGGTGTTGTGTGGCATGCTCAGTGGGTCGTTCCTGAGTGAACTCCGCGAGGAACGCGGAACGCTTCCGTTCTGCCCCCCCCCCTGGGTTTTGTTCGTTCCGCCATGGGTCCAGCGGACACCGGGGGCTTCGGAACCACACAGTGTTTCAGCGGTCTTTTGGGGCCAAAGGACGTGCCGAAATCAACGGACAAATCCCCATGGTCATCGGTTCCTGGCCGAATAGGTCTTGTACTCAACGGGATCCTTTTGGCCGACAGCCGACGTGCGACGCAAGACGTCTCATTCGAATTCAGCCTCAGGAAGCAGACTCATCTGCAAAAGTTTGGGCACAAAGTGAGTCAGTGAGTCTGCTCATGAAACTCCTCACCGTGCATAAGTCGTCTCAGCATCCCTAAATTCCAGGGTGAGACTTCCTGGGTGCTGAGGAACAAAACCCGAAATCATTAGACATCATTATATAGCCCAGACGCGACCCTGGGCCCTCATATGGAGGGGTCGGACCCCCATATGGAGGGGTCTGGGGTCTCAAATCCCTAGGTTTTGAGGGACCAAGGGACCATGGGAGAATGCTCTTTTCCATAGTAGGTTTGTCAACACCTGTGAGAGTTGATCTATCGATCAGCCAATTAGAACTGACATTGGCCCATTGGCGACCACCCCCCAAAAAGGGCCACCAATTGTAAGCTTTCTTGACGGTCTGGGGAGGCCTCTCGTCCAAGCAAGGGGGATGATCTTTGGAACTTGGACGCTACCTGCAAGACCTGCGCAACTTCAAACTTGGTGCATCAACTTGCGATGAATGCTGTGCCACCACCATGGGCATGAAATACAAGACTGCCTGGGCTGGGACAGTTCAGGGAGGAGATGGAAGGAGTAATTCTATGCCCTCACTCCCGACTCACCTGCGTTGCAGCAAGCTTCCAAAGCACCACCTCTGCCCCGCCATGGAGAGCCCCATTGTAGACCGCCAGGCTAAAGCTCGGAGTGTGCCGCAGCCTGATGAAATCATGGCATACAAAGCTCTTTCATCTCTGGGAGTCATGGGGTGGAAACGGGCCTTTTTGGGGGGGCCATCAAGATGCCAACGAAAAACTGACTATGACCTTCAAAAAGATTGGCCTACTAGCAGTGCTACACAACAAGTGCGGCCCAAAAGCAAGGAACAAGATACTTCGAAACACATACACGTTGCAATGCCTAACACAGAAATGGAACCCCACAACTGGCAATGCTTGGCTTTTGCGTGCTTAGGCAGGTCTGGCGGTTCTCTACAGTATTTGATTTTGTACTACCATGCTGAGTCGCATTTTCTGTGCGATCCTCATCCCAAATAAAATCATACAAGTACCGTCTTTCGGCAGCTACCAATCCGGCCGACCAGAATGAAGTGAAAGAACCCTCAAGGTGAGAATGCTGATGGACGCCCAGGAATCCTCAAACCGCCCGGAATCGACGTCTATGCCCCGGATGGTGCATCTCCACTTATACATAAACATCTTACGAAAAGACGTGATCACTATAGATGCACTATCACATATCCCAGTCTGAGTGTCTACAGACTTCAACATCTATAGGGGTTCAAATTCAAGCCCCCCTGCCCCACACTGGATGGTCCAGCCCTTTTGGCCGTCCTCTTTATTGAGCCCAGTCGCGAGATGCGGCCACTGGGGTCCATCTGCCATGAGTTCTTGTGGTCGGGCGTGAAGTAGTGGAACTGAAGCCCAAGCTGTGCGCCTGCGTCCGGCAAGTCGAGGAAGGCTTTAAGGATCTTAAGGTGCTGCTGTTGGATTGGAGACGAAGCTTCTGTGCTTTTTCTAACCTGAAACATTCGCCATCCAAACAGGAACTAGAGCTCTGAACCTTCTGAACATGTCATAAGATCGGGTAGCATCACCACTTCTGGCTCCCAAGTAGCCGCTTTCTCAGCCCTGGATGGCCCCCATCTCCGGGAGTGTCCTCCCGCTCCGGACCAACCACGTCGACCAGTTTTCGGCGCCTGCATCGATGGGCCCGGCCACCGAGAGGGCGAATTCCGGTCGGTTCTCCAGGATCAGCAGGCCATCGTCCGTGAGAATCCACCGCCGTAGACCCACCTTCTGAATCACCACCTGCCGATCAGGTGTGTGGAAAGAGAGGAGCGCCAGGAGAGCGCTCCTAAGGGATCTCTCTCCGGTTTGTTTTTGGGGGTGAGGTGGCGCAGAGACGTGAACTTGATTGGTTCTTCTGTTTCCCGCGGACGTGTGTTCCTTGCCTTTTTGGCCGCGAAAGGACTTCAGACGTGTGAGACGTGTTTGGTGTCGGGTGGTCGGCGGAGTTGGGGATTTGCTATTTTTCAGCTGGCGGTGGATTCTATGAAGGCTCATCGCAATCCGTCTTGGGCATACATCATGATACATGTTGCAATCAAAGGACTTGAGGAACAGAATATTCGTTTCTTTCAGGCCAAACCATGCAACTCACGCAACTTGAGGTGGTAGTGCAGCTTTTCAAACCCAAACCTCTGTGCACTGTCTGTTTGGACTGGTGCGACAGTATATGAAATGTGAGTCCCCTGCAACAAGGCATCATGCACATCGAGAACGAACGCCAGTCGTCCCAAGTAGCTTTGTTCTAGAGTATTCTTTAGCTTTTCTTCCGGGTTTTGTAGTAAGAATGCAAAGTTTCACACGAGCAAGTTGGACACGAACATGATAGGAACACACATGCACACAGGCGATTGAAGCATTCCACATCACCTCAAAACCCCAGCAATAGAGAACCTATCCAAACTAGAACAACCGGACGACCAAAATCGCTGGAAGTGTTTCATCCAGCTGATCAGGTCACCAAGCCGAAAAAGCAGCTGCCGTCGGCAAGAATGCAGGCAAGTCCAAAGAAAAACAACTGAAACAAAGACCCACAAGTCTCAAACAAACCCGGTGAATCATGCCCACGGATGAAAACTGGGGTGTCTCCAAACCTGTGGACGAGGAGCCAGCCAGCATAGATGGCACAATCCCCAAAAGGTTGTTTACATATAACATTATGTATTATGGACGCCCATTACAAATATTATATAAATGGGTCTATCCTATTACCATGTCCCAGTGGATAATGATGGTTCAGTTGCAGGCCTTGATCAAAACTAGTGATGTTCTTGTTTCCTGACCGTTACAGGTCAGTTCGGATAGAGACCACTACACAAAGTCATTCACTCCCGGTCACCGGGGTCATAGCATGTTGCTGAGAAGGATCACCAAATCGGATAGACCCGTCTCTCTTCTAAAAACCCACCTGTGAACGAGGCCTGTATAGGCCCTCTCAGATCCCTGCCTTTCCGTTCTGCTCTGAGAGGCCCCATTCTGGAGACCTGAAAACACAGGTCGTCTGTGGCGACATGGCGGCACAACGATGCACGAACATGCACGAACATCCCAAGCCTGCCGACCCCGAAAATCATTCAAAGACGATTTGCATGTGGGACACCAGGCAATCTCTCAAACAGTGGCTGCAAAGGCCTGCCAAGCACAAGCAAACCCCTTCGAAGTAGCCTCCCTCGTGCCCTACACAAAAGTCAAGATGTGTCTAGAAGACTCGCAAATGATTTAATCCATAATTGGAGTCCGGTAGGAATGCAGCATATACTGTAGCAATGGAAATGGTCTCAACGATCAAGTTTCCTGCAACACATGGGGTTAGGTGGCCCAAGATTGTCCCACAAATGCCAGAAAAACGCATCAATCAAAGCACTCTCGACCTATTCCCATGTAGCTTGGACGATGCGCGATGGATCGATCCCCCGGGGCCAGATGTGCAGCTCAAGCACGGGTTGCGGAACTGCTCTGGACAGTTGGAGTGGAACATGCAAAAACCATTGACATCCATTGATTGACCTTCCCTACTGTGATGAACGTGATGAACATCTGGCCCGGCGCCTAGAACACGATGCCCCGCAAGTGCGTACACAAAAGAATCAAACATCATCAAACAAAAACTCACATATCATGCAATCTCATGCCCGAAAAAACAAGCGACATCCTAGGAACCCACACAAATCCATGAACAACTGGGTCATGCCGCTAAGCTCTGGCTCGTGACCAAGGGACATCCTGCCATCCCTGTGAGGATGTTTCTGGTCTCTCTCTGTCTCTCTCTCTCTCTCTCTGTTCTTCATGACGTCTCGCCCCAACCTACCTCAACGTGCCGCCAAGCTGCTGTGCCAGCCGGATCTCTGTACCATCCTGAGGTGCACTGGAATCATTCACCAGCCCATCCCTGGGAATCGACAAGTCCTGCTTGGGGAAGAAGCTGGTCAACAAGGAAGCACCCGCTATGTCGGACTCCAAGCTCTCAAAGGCTGAATCTTCAAGATGTTCCCATGGATTTCAAGTCCCATAATTACCCTGTAAGCCTGAACCCATAAAAATTAAAGGGTCTGCTTGCAAACATCGGGTTTGGGCCTCAGGGCCACCGAAACATCGGGTGTCGTTCCGATACCTCGGGTATTGGTAGAAAACCCTACAATTTGGTTTACCAATAGATCTCGGATGGTTTCGATCGCCCCGTTGCTCCGCTGCACAGGCACACACGTGACTTCAAGCACGATGGCTCCAGAGCGTTGAGGGCCCATGGGGGGCCTTTGAACATGCTGGAATGCGGAAAGGAAGGTCCTAAGAATATTTTCAGGATAGGGGCCACGACCATATCAAAAATATAACCACAAAGCATTGGAAGGGTAGATCCTTTCAAACAACCAAATACCACGGGCGGAAAGCAGCACGTGCACTCGTCCGCCAGTTCTTTCTCGCGGTGGACGCGGATGCAAGAGCATCGTGCGGAGTCCAAGTCCTGCGTGTGCGGAGTTCAGAGTCGAGGGCATCTTGATATCAATTGTTCAAACCCTATAGCCACTGGAAGGCATTTGGCCCAAGTGTTGCTACTTGTGTTTCCTGCTGTTCCGTTGGCATGGCGAATGGGACAAAGCAAAAGCCTCCTGGCCGGCCTAGAAAAATCATCGAGTCCATAGATTTGACTGGGCTAGCTGATTCGTGGGACAACAATGATGAGATTCGTGAACGACTACGTGGGGGGGGGGAGCTTGTGGTATCTGATGCTTCCAAGGGTGAGAGCATTGCCATTTGCGTGAAGGACCAAGCAGTTCTTATGCCACTGCTCGCGATGATGAGTCTAAAGGAGACCCGGCCCCTTCCACTGATTGAACCTCTTCGCGCGGAGGTCGAACGGGTATACATTAAGAACAAAAGAGGTTCTGACACGGAGCTGGGAGCGACTGTTGTGGCACTCGCCTGGCATATTCGTAGATTGCTGGGGTTCATCAAGATGAAGGTAAGGAGATCGGAAGTCAGCATTGTACCTTTGTTCTGATTTCGCATGTTTTGTGTTATCAGGATTCACTTCTATATGCGCTTATGATGTCGATATTCGCCAACGCTGTGCTCACATTGCTTTGCGCTGTTGATGTGCGCTCATTAACTTCATGCTTCTATAAGGTACCAGATTTCCAAGCACTATGCGTGGAACTTGATTCCAACCTTCAGGCGTTGCGTTCTGTGTATCATATGGCCGAACTAATTATATGATGGACAGCAGATTCAACATGGTCATTTGAATGAATCAAAAGTTAGTCCTATAGGATGCAATGTATAACGTATATGCGTGTCAACAGGAAGTGGCAGATGATGTGAATGCCAAGCAGGAAGCTCGGCAATCCGCCAAATCCTCCAAGGAGATTTTTTTTCGCTGTGCATTACTGTGCATTTGGTGAAAATTGTTGTTATATACTTGCACGCACAAGACATGCTTTTGCTTAAATTTGTTGGGCGCACACAACCTTTGTTATGTGCTATGCGCGTAGGAGTTTGACAATGATGATGATGATGAAGATGCTTACCATGATGAGGAGGAGGAGGAGGAAGGAGAGGAAGAGGGAGGTGAGCATGATGAGGAGGTGCCAGATGAGAAAATTGAGAAAGAAGTATCGGGTCCAAGTGTTGAGACAGGTTGCACTGGTCAGGTTCCGACTGAGGACTCAGGTGTGGGAGGTCAGCCAACAGAACCTTCTCTTACAGTACCTGAGCCCGAACAAAAGCAAGAAATACCAACAGCGCTGCCTGAAGCTACACCTGAACCACAGGCTGCAGTTCCAGCACCAGTTGCTGGTGATGGCACGGAACCAACAGAAACAACAAGCCAGTTTCAACACGAGGTGTCACAAGGTCAGGTCGCTGCTGGAATGGGTGAACCACCTTCGGCAGCAACGTCAGAATCCAATGTAAGAACAGCTGGTTGCTTGGGCATGCAATTAATTGCATGGTTGTGAATGGTTGATTGCACCCTTTTTGTGTTTTGTGTGAACATGTCTTGGTTTGTTTTTGCAACATATGTGCAACAATGTGGCAGCTTGGCAATTGATACGTCATTGCTTTGCGCTGGTCGCAAAGGACCGGAAGAACACATGCAACGCTTGCACATGCGCCGCCAAGAGATTTTGGAACAATTGAGGAAGTGATTAGACTGCAAGTATAGATGGTCCAATTGCTGTCTTGTTGAGTATAGCGCATGTTAGTTAACATGATCTTGATTTGCGATAGAGGTTGCGAGCACAGAAGTCTGGTGCGCAGTCTTCTGCAGAAGTACCTTCCACTGCTGGAAAAGGCCAGCGTTCAAACATCGGATGAGTTTAGTCATGTGTATGTTTTGCTTCATATAGATCGATAGTTTGTTGTAAACTGCTCGATGCCAAACATCCCTGAGGCATTTCTATCGATGGTTCAACAGCAGTACAACGGTCTTCGTCGGTGTCTGGGCTACAAGCACCAGACCTAACGGACACACTGCCGGTTGATATCATGGAGGTTGCTGTCCCACCGGAAAAACCGGCGCTTCTTTCACCGTTGGCTACAGTAGAGGAGAAGCGGGCATCGTTTCAGTCGAAGGGTCGCAAACCTGCCCCGGAGGAATCCGGTGAAGACTCTACCAAACAGTTCGGGACTGGCAACGAGGAGGTCAACCAGTCTTCTCTTGAGAAGATTAAGAAGCCAGCCGCAATCGATGTCTACACTCCCAGTGACGCTGACCAGGCGGACCGTTTTCTAATTAACCAGTGTGATTTGTTTTTGATGTCACAGATCATGATAGCGGCCTGTAGTTATATTCTTGTTTGTGTGCGCAATGTTGGATTGTGTTGAATTCGTGCCAAGCCCTTGACAGGAGCCTTCAGGTGCAAAGGTGACGAGGCTGGACCAATTGAAGCAGAGATCCAAAGAGGAAGGTGAGGAAGGTGAGGAAGGTCAGGGAGGTAGAGGTCGGGGCAAAGGCCGTGGAAGAGGTAGGGGTCGGGGAAGGTCACGCGGCTCTACACAGGTAATGAAACGCCCGGCATCGGCTTCTCGACAGAAAGCACCGCCACCAGATCCGGATGCAAATTGGGCAGCCTGGGGCACTGACGAGGGGTGGGAAATGGCATATGAATATGGCTGGGAAAATGAAGAGTGGGCATGGGATTCGTATGCCTGGTGGGAGGCGGAATATGGAAAATACAAATTGGCCGAGGAATCAAACCAGGTGCCAGGAGACTCCAGCCATCGAAATGCTGATGGAAAACGGTACAGGAAAAGTAAAAAAACAAAGGAACTGCCTGAACAGGCAAAGGAATCTATGAAGAAGAAGAAAAAGAATGACAAAGATGAGGAGACAGGCGCTGCTGCAGAAATGTTAGCGTCTGCAGCTAGTGCCCATTCAAAGAAAAAAAGGAAGGAACATGGAAACGAAGCCGATCGACCAGCTCGCACTGAACCAAAGACCAACCAAAAACGCAAAGATGGTCTCGAGAGCCCATCACGTGCAGAATCCAAGAAGCGCCGGTCGTCGAAGCCAGTGTTGTCAGAACAGGTGAAAGTTCATAGATCCTTTCCAAACACCGATTATGGAATTGTGGAAGAGATCATGGCCTTTGTCAAGGCTGCTGGAAAGGTGCAGGATGAACAGGTGAGGACTGAGCTGCGGAGCCGACTGGCAGAACATAAGGACTGCACCCTAAGTGTGTATTGGACCAGGCCAGCTGTTGGATTGAGGTTCAAGGGCACCACAAAGGACGTTGCCTACATCTCCATGGCCGTCTATAGCGAACCAAATACCCCAAAAACATTCATCCTTGGGGCGACGCTGATTGTGGCTGATTTGCTAGCAGCTCGGTAGCGAGTTCAGTAATCGAAGCCTTTGCGCACATGATCACGCACCTGTGTGCCTTAAGTTGTTTGAGGTCTTGGTCCAACACTTTCTCAGAGTTAATTTGTGTGTGTACATTGCAACTGGGTGTTCTTTGCAATGATTGGTAGTATTATTTGCTCTGAGGCCACCTACATGGACGATTTGATTGCTCAACGTGGTGCTGCATCTTCTCTCACTGACAGCGATCGTAACAGCATCCAGGAAACCATGCTTAAGTTGAAGGAGTTGGCAAAAGAAGTTTTGAAAGATGGCTCGCTGAAGAACTCCAGCGATTGATTTGATGTGATTTAAAGTGTTGTGCCACATAGGCTGCGCCAATTGGAGTGTGCAGGGAAGCAAGTTGCAATCAACTTGTGGGGAGCCACACATACATCTCCCAAAATTGGTGCTTACAGTGGCCACGCAACAACCCGAAGCTATTAGTGTTCGCAGCTAACAACCATCCCAATCGTTTGTTGTCATGTTCACATTGTTACTGTAGAATGATGGTTTGTTGAAGCTTCGGGCACTATCGTGTGGGAGTCAACATCTTCGGCTTAGAACCTTCTTGGCAGGTGCTTGGGTCCATCGGCGTCCACGGAAGTTTGCATATATACACCGTTTGAGGAATCATGTTCAAATGTAATCCCTTCTTGTCAGAGAAATCTGTTCAAAACAAACAGTTATAGCTGTAAACTAGCACCAGCCATTTTTAGAACCTACTTCAAGTCGATTCGTGGTTCAATCTCAAACCGGAACAACTTCGATCAGTGCCAAAAAAGAGATGCCTGCTGACTTGTGCGGAACCGTGGGAATAGGTGGGAATTCTCAAGACCGAGCTATAGGACAAGTGTTTTCAACATAAAATCACTCAGTTAGAACTGTAATGATCGAATAACACTGGTCGGGACACATCCACCCATGCGATCTGGACTTCTTTGATCCCTTCACTCTTTCCCTCCCCCAACTTCCATGAAACCGTTTCTTTGGTCCTGATGGCCGAGGTCATGGATCAATCGGCTGCCACGATCAAAAGGCGCCACAACCTTTGGAAGGTCAGGGCCAACACTTTAAAAAAGAAATGCACTTCTGGCTTGATTATATTTTCGCATCCATGTGGCCCATGTGGATGATCATATCTGTGTGTCAAGTCAAGTTTTGTGCATGGGCAAGTCTTGTTGAAGGGAAATGTTGATGAAACCTGTTTGGCAAGGGTGAATTTTTGGCCTTGCAAAGCACGAACCAACCGACTATGTCAGCTTTATTGTCCGCAAGTGGGCTCCATTTAGAAACACATGCATCAACCTACAACCCTGCAAATTCGTAATGATTTATTGATTGTCATCCAAGCTGCCTTCTCACTGTTGTCCTCATAAGCTGTTGCAATGTTGTGCATAAATG